TGTGTGTGTGTGTGTGTGTGTGTGTGTGTGTGTGTGTGTGTGTGTGTTGCAACGCGACAATGATATGCGATTGCATACGCGACGTCGCAACACGGTTTTTCCGTGTGTCTGTTCGCGTGACAGTTTTTTTAATTTTATTTTATTATTTGTGTACCGTTTCATGCGCGTTTTATTTTTTGACACTCGACCGACCGAATCCTCTCGCAGATATTCCGCTGCCATCGTCTCGCCCCGAGTCGCATGATCGGGGTTACAGCGATTCAGCCGGCAGCATTTCAGCCGAAAATATTGTAGCCGACAAACATTACAACCGTTAAGAAATACAACCGATAATTATCTAACCTACAGACTATTACAACAGACTATAGTATTTAAGACGACCGTAATTCAGCTGACAGTATTTCAACCGACAAACAATACAATAACCATGGTCGTCACCTTATCTTCTCCATGTTTAACTGCCAGTTGAAAACCGGTTAATCAAATCAGTTCTTATCAAATATTGTCTGCTGAAATACGGTCGACGGGGTACATCATTGTACAGTAGTTATCTTTGCACTTGTGCACCACAGCGGATATTCGCGAGCCTCGTAAGCCATGAATAACGCGCTAGACACCGCGACGGATGTGTGTGCACAACGCCTACTCGTCTACCGCCCGTGATAAACCGTAAAACGCGAAAATAACGCGGTCGATATGCATAGCCCTCGTGGCGCCCGGGATCCCTGCGAGAGCTCGAGCTCGGGACACGACTTATCTACACGTGAGTAGAACACCGCGACGGTGTCCTGTTGCGTCGCGAGCCCGTTAACGGTGACCTTAGTACGTAAAACTGCAAGCGCAATGGTATTGCGATGATACGAGAACCAACAGAAAAACGTGCGTGACCGCTTGGACATGCACTGAAAACGAATTTTTTATATTAATTGTGAATTTAAATGTTTCATCGCGTCGAGTGCTATTACGAGTTTGAGAGTCTTATAAAACAATTATAATTATATGAAGTCCACATGTTCATCTGTTATTTGCATTACACATATTTATAACATTTGTAGAATTGATATTCGATTTTATGTTTGACATCGGTAATGGATACAATTAGGTTATTCTTATTTCAAACACTGCTGTTGGTTGTAAGAGCTTACTAAAAACGATAAAAGCGTTAAATATATATATATATATAAACCCGAATTACAAATGTAAATTTCAGGTATTCATCTTTTAGATTTTTGTGATTTCGTAATACAAATACTTGTGCACGTATTACTCACATTGTTCTGCTTTAGAATCGCCATAACGTGCGCGTGAAACAGCGCTGAACACGATCGAATCACCGAGCTGTTTATTCGGATCATTTCGCTCCGGCGAGCGTTAAAAATACCGTTTTTACTAAATAACTATTTTCCGGCCATTGCGCACCGCAAATCGTTCGTGCCGCCGCGCGTCGTCGAACTATTCAACGTCCGGACGCGTGTGACTGCCGATGAGAGAGGTACGGACGGAGAGAGGACCGCACTGCTAGGCTGCACTCGGGCACCGACCAATCGTGCACATTACAATATTTTATTAAACGTACATTATATTTTATTTTCACCTCGTGTTGTGCGAACGCGGTGATTAATCGTGACGTTTGATAAATTATATTCGAGCGCGAAACATTTGTCTGCGTCGTTGTATTTTTTTTTTTCTTTTTTTTTTTTTTTTTTTGTTCGCAAATCGCTAATGCTCGTTATAAATAGTTTCAATATCTTACAGCGACAACGCAGCAAGTATTTATCATAATCCGCACCGCGGTTACGACATGGAAAGTGACAGCATTATGGTAAAACTGCGATCGGACATGAATTATAAGCGCAACGGTTTCGGACAACGCATATTTTACACGTTCCGTATAACGTCTAAAAACCGAAAACTCTCCGTGCGGACATAAGATTGCATTCCGAAACCGACGAATAATAAACGCACTCAAAAAATTACATCATAAAAAATATTAGATAATCGAGCTCGGTACGTTTCTCTGGGGGTTTTTTTTTTTTTTTGGGTTGTTTTAGAAAAATTCATTAATTACCTTAAAACTGACGTTCATGGAGTACCATGCGTGTCCGGTTTCTAATTTAACTTTTGGACAGCTTCTGCAGAGAAAAGTTTTTTCTGCACTTGATAAATGTGATTTCATAACAAAAAAAAAAAAAAAAAAAAAATACATAATTTGTTTTGCTCTTCGTCTGATCTGATACTAGTTAATATTGAATTTGAAATATTTCAAAATTTAAAATAAAAATAAAACGTGGTATGGTTGTTGAATACTTCGACACTTGTGCCAGTCAAAAAAGAAAAAAACGTTTTATTTGGAATTTCATACAAGTAATTACGTATTTAAACTACACACATGGTTATTCCTCTCGAAAAAAATGAATTGAACAATAGTTGCACGTTATAAATAAAAAAAAAAAAAATTCATAATAACTAAACGTAATAAATCGTTTTTATAACGTTTTGAACAAAAAATGACAAAATCGATTAAAAATGCAGAAAAAGTTTATTTATATTTTTATGGCGTAATTATTTTTTTATTTTTTTTTTGCCGTAAGCGGTTTGCACGGATCGGAAAAATACAAAAACAAAAAACAAAAAAAAAAAAAAAAATAATAAATATTCCGTCAAAACCATTGAGGATCACGTGAAAAAAGATTTAAGAAATATAATTGCGGAAAAATCGATTTGTGCGTTTCGTATCTGAGTTTTGGACTATTTCCTTAATTGCGATTGGTTTTAGGCTTATTAAGTTTAATTTATAATTTATTTTTATTCCAACAGCTATCACTTGAATAGAATCAACAAAAAAAAAAAAAAAAAAGAAAGAAAAAAGAACAACGGATTTTTTTCATGGTAAAGGATCTGTTCGCTACGGCGATGGTCCGAAATAAAAAGATAACAAAGTTAGGTAAATAGTAAAAACGTAGATTAGATTTCGAACTCCGTGCGTTAAGGGAAAGCAGGAAAACCAATCGAATTCTCGAGTTTATATTACCGACATGTCTATCAATGGGTTGTCTTCGAAATCCTAAAGTTGCAGGTTCAATTAGTTAACTTGTAGGCGTTATCGCGTACAGCTCAACAATTTCTTTTTTTATTATTAATACAGCCAACTCGATAAATACGTTTGCACTGAATACACGCATGTTGTAATGATGTGCATCGTTCGGTTATGTAACATGTTATAAACCGATAAATAACGATTCTTTCGATACGCGCACCGATCACGCAATCCAACGACACACCATTGACATCCTAAGTAGGTCAAAACTTCAAAGGACCGTCTCGAGGTCCGTCTCTCGCCATACTTCCTCGTTCAACAAGGGTTATAAACACTACGGTGCACAACACTGGTACGAGTATAATACGACTCAACGTCCTCGGGAAGTACAGTAAAGTAACGTTCGATTCCAACGCGGACTATTTATTCTGTGCGGGACCGAACGAGACACGTAACGTACAAAAAACCATTGTTTATCAACCGTTAGATTCTTTCGGACCGTAAAAAAGCACCACGGTTCGCGACCGGTCGACGTTCGTGGGCGGGCGTTTTCTTATTTCGTACAAATCAATAATTTTCCGTTTTAAAAGTTTCCACAAACCATTTAGCCGAGACGTGTGTAATCGCGTGCGGTAATGTTGAACAAAAATAGAACGATTGTCAGACGACATGTACGGTTAGATTTTCGAGAAGAGTACGTCCGAACGGATTATTAATATTTTTTTTTTTTTTTTTTGCAAAACTTCTGTACAAAGGCTGCGCGCGCGTACAAATACGTGTATAATATATTGTTTTGACGAAGGTGAACAGGGTCGACAAGCGATTTCTGCGCGCGTACAATAAATTGTACGATCGAAACGAAAACGGACTCGGCCCCGGTACAATATATCAGGGCGCGTCGATGGGCATCGGAAACTCGCGGCGTGAAACGGTTTATATTTCTGTCGCGGCGCGGACCGAGCTAATGGAGTAAACTAATGGAGTGAACGCATAACGGAACGAAATCGTTTTCTAATAAATATCCCATCGTTTGCGCGCGTAGAACGGCTGTTAACACGCACACCGACACGGGCGCCCGTCCGTAGATGTATGGCCCTATCGTTACGGTAACGGGTGAAACATCGCAACGCACCGTCGGCCTAGGCGTTACACGCGGTCCGGATATTGCGATTTCGCGTTGCTCGCGGATCCGAAGAAAAACTATTGTCTACGTAAACAACCGTTCAAATCGTACCATATCGTCTCCTGGCGGTCAGGTGCCGTGATCGTCCATGCGGTTCCGACTGCGTGTGTTCCGTTCATCGACTCGTAACGGCCGCGATCCGGCGTGCGCCCAAAGCTGGAAATCAAAAAGAAAAATCGTAAAACGTCTGAGGTCCGTGTGCGCGTGTTCTGTTCATTTTGTTTTCCGAACGCGCAACGCGATAACACCTGAACCGAACGCGTGCGCTTCGACAGACCCGCGGAAATCAACCGTGCGATCGACCCGACTACTGAAGGGTCGGCCTTAGATGCTGTCGACGCGTGCGACGGCACAGGGCCCCGAAATCAGAATGGCGCGTGAGAGGCGTCGAAATTAGAATTAGATTTGATCAACCGTCGGACGACGCGAATTGTCCACTGTGGATAGAAAGAAAAAAAAAAAAAATTGCACGGTGTGATTCAATATAAATTTGATTATAATCATAATTATTCATTGTTCTCGACACGCAATGATTGGCCGCGCTTGTGGGTACAACTGCAGTATTGTAAGCTATCACTATATTACCGTTACGAGCGTTGTTATGATTGTTTTGTGAACGATTGACAAATATGTGGCAAATTCGCACGGTCGAATAGTTGTTTTGATCATTTCTGGCTTAGCTTATATTATGCATAACGAGGTCCCTCCGGCTCCCGAAGTTCTGCCCGTCTAAGCTATACGTCCGAGTCGTTTAAGACGGAGGACTAACAGAATAACAATTGCGCTTAGCGCCGAAAGAGCTAGAGCGGCCAGTTTACGCACGGAACACCGGAGGAAAACATCGTTCGATCGGTTAGCTAATGTCGTTTAATTTACATATCCGTTTTACGGATAACGACTTACCACGGTAAGTACTCGCTGCGGTATTAACTCACGCCATCGTAATAATACCGCGGTTGTTGTGCTAGCGCGCGCTAATTCGAATCGGAGGTGTGCCGAAAACATTTCGTTCGCGTGAGAAAACAATCGTCGCGGCGGTATAACCCTCCGCCGGGCTTAACAATGTCCTCTCGGCTTTAACCCCGTAACGGTTGGGGACCGGTAGCGTTTAAGCGGATTCCGAGTGCCCGGTCGCAAATCTTTTGTCGTCCGGAACGAACGGGAAACCTGTTCTGGGCCGAGGATTATTTTTTTTAAGGATCGGGAAACGTGGTTTTTGCCCGTCGTCAGTGGGATTCGATCGATTCGGTTCGCATCGAGTCGGCGAACGACGAAACATCACGTCGATGACTTACACTATCGTATCACTATTCAATCGCATCCACTCGTGTGTCGTGCACGGACAGGAGGTAAAAGGGAACGAGTTCGCTTAACGATTTTGTTATTTTTTTTTTTTTTTTTTTTTTTGTTCTCCTACATGCTCTAGTCTATCGATATATTTATAATCCACATCGTTTGCCGTTAAAAATAGGGAAAATGTTAAGGTTAAATTTTTCACGACACCTACGAGAAAAAAATCCATAAAATATAAACGATCAACTGTTGTACAAAAAATAATAACTCAAAACTGAATTTCGACACATTCGCTCAAGGAATAAATTAGTCACGTGCAAACTGGAACGAGTTCGGATAGAGATTTCACAAAATAAATACATCACTTATTGTATTTAGTTAGGTTAGGTTAGGTTATATAAATATATAATATACTATTAATGTAAATACCAAGTATTTAGAATGATGAGTTTGATTTTAATTTTAATTTTTGTTTTTTGTTATACCGACGCAATAGATGTATACCTTTTAAATATACCCTTTTTATACCGGCGAAATAGATGCACACTGTACAGGTAGTGTCCCAAATTCGACGCGATCGACGAATACCACATTTAACACAGTCGCAACCGTTCGGACACCATTCGATTCGTTTTATAACCGTACCGTACCGCCACCTTTATTGCACTATTGTCGCTATCATTATCTTATAGTTTTTAATGCGCTCACGGCATATGGGCTTTGATTTTTTTATATTTTTATTATATTTTCGTATCAATAACAATTCGTTCTTTGTCACCATTTCTATCTATCTTTTTTTTTTCTTTTTTTTTTTTTTTTGAACCTGCATGTTACGCAAAATCTCGAATCGTTCCAACAACGACCTTTTTTCGGTCCGTTAAGTAACCGTAACGTGCACGACGTATCAATCGAGGCACGTACGATTATTATTATTATTTTTTCGCTGAACTTGCTTTGCAAAACAAACCCCGTGTTCCATCACTTCGTCGCCGACCCACAAAGACCGATATCAATTATTAACGTTCAATAATATGTCGGTCCCTAAATATTTTATGTGATTTCATAGGAAGCACGTTGCGCCATCGTCCGTTCCTCTTGCGAGCACTTGATTATGCAAAATTAAACTATATTGATGACCATATTCATCAAAGCATTTTCGTTCAAACTATATTCTCTAGTTTTCCTCCCATTGTTGACCATAATACTACATTATGCATGCGCAGACTTTTCATACGAAACTTTAACGCAGGTATTCCTTTGATCTTCCGTACCGGGGGTTATGGTTCGAAAAGTTTTCCCCTGTATGTATACGCATCACCGCATCGCCGTATTGACTGCACAACACAACTATTTTTTTATAATTCAATCACCCGTAGTTTAAACAATATTGTAGCTGCTGTTTGATATATGTATATTATTAAGTTGTTGGGTCGTAAAATATATGTTATCCTAATAGGGATGTGCATCAAGGGCGCGCATGTACGTAAGCACTGCGAGAACTTATGTTTACGATTTGCTGATACGTAAGGGAAAGGAAACACTAAGGAAAACATGAACAATGTTATTTCAACTACGATTCAAATCGAATCTTTAACCTATTTGATATAATTATTTATTTATTAACTTTTAATAATATTAAAACAATATAGCGAAATGTTATCGAACGTGACAATTTTGTGGTCGTCGGCCATCGCTTTTGACGGTGGGAAATCGATTTTCATTCCTTTAATACTTCATATTGACGCGTTGAGTAACAAGTTCTGATAGTGCTTACATGAGCTTACATAAATACGGTATATGTTCAATGTCGTAGAAAGAACATTAGATTCAGACACTTTATGTAAACACTAAATTTTGCACACACCACAGTACCACATGATTTATTTGCATACATACGTATTATTCTTATTGCCAATGACCTTTATTGTAAATTCGAAATGTTCAATTACAAAATTATTTTTTCGACAAAGTAAGTGTGGTATGAAAAACCGAAAATAATTGTTTTATTTTTTTAATAGAATTACACCGCCGATATCCCACAAATGCTTAACACATTAATAGCCACTTTTTCCGATGACTATCTTCACATAATTATATCACTGCAGATGCCCGAAAAATTTCAATATCATGCTCCATCGAAACTTGGTGCAAAAACTGATTGTCAAGAATTATCGAGAGTGATTCGAGAACAAATCGAGTTATGCTATTTTTTTCTCTTCGTCGGTGTGCATGTCCTTTGATTCATTGACAAAATCATTCCTGTCTCCAATGAAACGAAATATCTAGGAATTATAATAGATAAACGACTTACTAGGGGCCAAAAACAATCAAAAAATGGCTTAAACTAGACTTCTAGTAAGTATTTTTTTTTCTAATTTAACGTAGCGGACCGTATACTTAAAAATACATTTCCAATAAATTATATTTGTTGGTTTCATTATGTACTGGCGTACGTAATACGCCGTATTATATGTACGTATTATACGTATTATACGCCGTCGTTGCTTTGAGTATTTACAATTATCATAGTTGGAAATTTAATACAACTGTTTGATTAAAAATTTTATTTTAATTTAATTTTACTGTCAAAAGCTCCGATAATATTCATATGTATGTGTATATATATATATGTACGTATTACTCAGTAATCACATCTCGAAAAAAGCATTTATATGGTTTATTTCGGATTCGATACGATCCGGTCCTTCAGAAATATGCCCAGCATAAAAAGTACCTATAATAATAATAATAATATGACATTATCGGATTTTGATTTCGATGCATCAATGTAATTCCCACTCGTGTCGGCCGTATTAAAGTTTTTATGAAAGGGCTCGCGTCGTCGTTACACCGATTTATTTTTATTACGTTTTCGGAATCTCACGGAACTTCCAGATATCCATACATGTGAAATATCGATATTATATACGCGCGTATGAATATAATACCGAATTGTTCACGTTGCCGAATGCCGGTGAAATATTACGTTTTTTTTTTTAATATTCCCTTTCTGATACCGGATAAATCAATACCGTCGCTACACAAAAATAAGTAATAATATGCTAATGTACTTTAAAAACATCGGTCATAGATAAACCTATTCCGGGTGGGTAAGGGGGGGGATACAAAAATCTGTGCGGTTCATAAAGCATTCGATTGCACCATCGGTCAACCGACAGCGGTACGAACAGTAAAAGTAACAGCGGGGTATCCAAGGTTTTATTACTGTGGGTCAACCTGTTCCAGAAGAGTTCATGTCGTGTAACGTCAACCATATGTATCCTATGTAATACGAATCTGCTCGTTTCGCACGCAAATATCGATTTACTTTAACTGTTTAATATATTAATACTTAATATATGTTGGACATGGTAAGAGTCTGCACGTGGCGTCCCCTGCATCGCGATATCGAGTCTACACCAGGATAACTAATCTTATCAACACCGGTGCAAAACATGCCAACACCGCTAAAACGGTCCTTTTCAGGACCAACCACTGCTCTAACCTAATAAAAATCGATTTTCGCAATAAAATAAAAATGATAAATAAGTACCTCGATATTAACTGTTGATACACATTGATACGGACAACACCACACTGTTACGTTACAGCACGGACCGGACCAATAATCAAATTAACAGAAATTCAGTCCAAATTAATCCGAAATCCGTTTTTTTCCGATTGAAAAATTATACTATAAATCGCGATTCGCACTATTACGGCGCGGAAAACTGCTATTATATTCACACTTGACAGACATCGAAATCAAATAAAACATCACCCGCTAGTATTTCAAATAAGTATTGATTCTCATAAGCAGCTATTCGTTCTTTATTTCCAGTCCAGTGTTCATCAGTTTAATA